GTTACATACACGTGGGACAGCTGTTACATACAGGTGGGACAGCTGTTACATACAGGTGGGACAGCTGTTACATACACGTGGGACAGCTGTTACATACAGGTGGGACAGCTGTTACATACACGTTTATCACTGACAATTTGCTCCTGTGACAGGAATCACTCACCATGTTAGCCTGTCGATTTAAAAAATAAATAAATAAATAAATAAAATAAAAAAATATATATATATATATCTTTTTGGTGGTAGACAGTTGCCTCACCTGAGTCCAATGTGAAATGCTTGTTGTGACATTATGGATGGAGTCAGTGTTGTAATGACAGCCCCGGCAGTATCCACGCTGTCCCTGTGGCTCTGATGTGGCACGTGACCTTGCACTGTCTTACACCCTCTAAAGAGAGCTTCTGTGTGGAGCTTGTCTGACACGCATCAGTATCGCACACACTCAAAATAAGGGGAATTTACTCTATGAAGTAGAAAAAAAAAAAAAAAAATCCAGGGTGCCACATGTTCTGGTGAATTAAACCTTACAATTAATCCTTAAATTTCCGTAATTAGCCCCTGAGAATTATCTAGAACTAGGTTGTACTGTAGAACTAGGCATGGTCCTTCTCAGCATCAATGTCCATCGTTGGATACAAAGCAGTGACCTTTGACCCCCGTTCTGGTCTCAGCAGCACGCGAGTGTGCTCTTAAGGTCATCTTAGACGTTTTTGGGTGACCTCATGGAACAACGAGTGTCACATAAAAAATGAATGGATGTCCCCTATTATCTGCTGTGTCTGTACTGGAGTGGGTTTGCTGACAGGAGTGCAAGACTTTAACAGGAAGGTAAAGAATACTGTCAGACTGAAAGGAAATGCAGGGTTCGAGCAGCAGCTGGAAGCCAGCGATGATATTTGTTACTCAAGTGGCCAACAGTGGCTTTTCAAAGTTAATCACCCCAGTTCTCTGTCTGGTTATGTGATGCATTCAGTAGTGACAATAGTAATATAATATTTCTGCCTTTATTTCATGCATTGTGTGATTTAAGTCATAAATTGTACACAATAATTTCATATTGTATCCATTTGTGTAACAAATTGCAGTTTCCAACCTAATACCATGTGCTTCTTTATTTCCATTTGTAGTGTCTTAACATGTATGACACGTAAACATCAGACATTTTTTACGTGTTTTTGCACTGTGGCCCATGAAGATGTGACTCTGTGTGACTCCAGCCTCCCAGAGCTGAGATGACTGTAAAATCACCTTGACTTTTGACTTGGCATTTGCCGTCTGTAGCGTCACCCGTGCTGGGTTTGGCCGCGTTTGCTGCGCAGTGAGAGAGAACCTTCGATCTGCGCTCATGTTCACTCGCTCGCCTGCATTGTCCCGCTGCTTGGGTTCGCTCGCACCTCCCCCCCCCGCCGTATCCTAGCGACCGCTTTGGCCGGCACAGCCAGCCACTTACTCCTCTCTGACCTCGGTGATGCTCTTGCCGCCTCTTCACACGCCCGCTAGTCTTCTCGTTAACCTCAGTGCATTTTTTCCCCTCTCCTCTCTCCTGTGCCGTTACAGGAAGGCCCCCCCATGGTGCTGGGGATGTTAATGAGCAGGGTCGCAGTGTCATTTCAGATAGCCCCCGAAACACAGTAATAGTGTTCAGTTTCTCAGAAGCTCATTATTTGACTGTTCAGTGACTAAGTGGTCATTGGTGTAAATAAGGAAACAAAGTTATGTGAGCATGTCTAGATAGGCTTTTTGCAGGAACTGGGTACTTCATTCCAACAACGATCATTAGTTCCTGGATTGGGTGCTGGATAGTGCTCTCTCCCCCTTTGGCTTGGGCTTCCTGCCAACCATTCAGTTTTAAGGGCCTTTATTTTGGCTGGTTTCCATGGCAATGGCTTCTTTAGCCACTTTGGTCTGGCATGACACTAATGTCAGTGAATAAAAGGCGCTCCAAGCGAGACTGGGCTCAATTGTTTTGTAAACGCGTGCTAATATTTCTCCGCGTCCACTCTGATGACGGAGCTGGTGCGGGGCGACTGGGTGAGGCTCCGTCGATCTGGCTGGGGTCTGCAAGTCCTCGGCACTCTGAGCAGGCAGAGATGAATGGCTCTTCACTTCATTACGCCAGTGGAGCGGTTTCACCTCAGAGTTAATGTCGGGCTAACCGTCGTATCATTTAAGCACTGCAGAGAATGACATTAACAGCCTTTCTGCTGGCGTCACGCAGTTGTAGTTGCGTGATACCCCGGTGGGTTTGCCTGTCAGACGTTTCCTGTCTGAAGAAAGGAAGGATGTAGGTGCAGATGATGGCTGGTCACCACGCTGATGGGTGTTTCTGATTTAATAGGAATATGAGTTTTGCTTAGGCTCAAGTTAATTTGTCACATATGCAAACGTGAAGCTCATACAGATTGTGAAATACTCGTTAGACTGTGCTTAAAATGCCTTATATAAACTTATTTTCCATTACATATATATGTAAACACCTGGCCTGAACCCTGCTTTGTTTTGAACTCGGGGTTTGATTAGAGCCCCATGATTGGTTCCACACAAACATTTTGGTGTTACGCCTTCGTCAGTGATCGCCGCTGGAGTTCGGACCCGATCTCTGTCATTTTCTTTTTTTTTTTTTTTTGCAGTGTCTGTGAACTGATGGTGTTCATCATGGGAGTTGGTTGAGCGCGATGTTTTTTCCGAATAAGGCCTGGAATAGTGCGATGACCGTGAGTGCGTGCAGCATGTTAGCCGTTAGAGTCTTCGTTTGATATGCTAGTTAGGTGTTGCTCATTCCAGTTGCTATCCCATAGTGCATTGCGGGTCACCATTTCTTGTATTGAATCCAGAAGGTTATTCATCTGTTGTGTTCCTGCTCAGTATTGTATCTAATCCCTTCTGTTATCCAAGAGTGGGTTTCCTGTGTGTGGGGGACTGTCCCATGTCCTGCTGCACCCTCTAGTGCCTTCATCCATCGCAGCTCTTCACCCTCTTTTCCGTTGTTCACGCGCAGGCTGGCTCAGGGGTCGCTACGGCGGGCGGCATGCAGGACTTCCACCGATCCGAGTCCGACCGGCTCAACGAGGTGAAGGGCCACTTGGAGATCGCTTTGCTGGAGAAGCACTTCCTGCGTAAGTGTGGGCGCTGAAACTGGGGGGGGGGGGGGGGGAGTGCCTTGCTTCAGGTCACAGTCAGAGTCCTAACAAGATAAAGGGGGGGATATCCAGTGGTCAAGCTGTAAAAATGTTTCAAGGGGAGTTGTGGGGGGGGCGGGGGGTGAGCCCTGGTAGCAGCCTTTGCCCAGCAAGGGAGCCGTTGCTCTGTTGACGTGAGTCGCACCACTGCTGTGACACGTTAATCCTTCCAAGACCATCATTCATTCACTCATTCATTTGTCTGTTACCCCGGGGGATACATCCATCCCTTTGTGACCTTTCCTCTCATGTTCTTCTGCTTCACCTCATCCCGGAAAGTGCTGCCAGGCCGAGCGCTGATTGCCGACCCCCCCCTGTACAGGACGGCTGTATTTTTTTCTTCTTTTTTCCTTTTTTTAATCTGCTGGCAGCCCCAGTTGAATATTTAATTAGCTTTAGCTCATTAGCGCAGCTTCACAAAGGCTTCACTGTACCGGAGAGCAAAGTCATTGTTTGCCTTCTGTTGTACTATATTCATAAAGCAGCCGCTTTCTTCCCCACATCAGTCTAAATACCTTTTTGTTCCGTGCTGGTGTCACGGGGGCCCGTAAGGTGGTTACTGCCCGCTTTAGAACTGGCCTCCATTGTTAAGAGACTCGAGGTCGGCTTTTAGAGATTGCCCTCGGGGCCTCCGGCTTCTACATCAGGGCGAATGCTGCAAAAGACGCCTTATAGCTGCCGTGAGAATTATTTCGATGATGACATCATAGATAAACAGGCTGATGATGCGCTTAATGGCCACACAGACTGATCTGTAGATACAAGCTTAACTTCTGTTATTGAAATACCAACCCAGCATGGCATACAAGTCTGGGATGGTATTGATTAGACTAATGAAGCCCAATTTAGTTCGGTCAGATACAGAGAAGGACACAGGTATGGCAGACAAATTGCTTGGTTCCGACAATCAATGAAAGTATCTGTAGACCTTCTCATATATATTACATGGATATACGGATTAAAGGGACACAGACTTGTAATTCATCCATCCATCTATCCATTTTCCAGTCGTTTATCCTGGAGAGGGTATTAGAGGAGGTCTGGAGTCTGACCCAGACAGCACAGGGCATAAGGCCACGCCCTGGTACACCCTAGATGGGCCACGTTCTTATCTGTGGAAGGCCAGCCTATCACGTGGTGCGTATCCAGACACACCCTCACACATGCAGTCGCACCCTATGGGCAATTTAGAGACGCCACTGGGCCTAATTTATGTCTTTGGACTGCTGGAGGAAAGCGGAGTATCCGGAGAAAACTCACACAACACAGGGAGAAAGTAAACACTCCACAGAGTCGGTGGATCGAACCCGGGACCCTGGCTGTGTGGGGCACAGGTTCTGCACCGCCCCCATGCTCATAATATGCTTAATGCTAATTCACCCCCCCCCCAGCTCTGCCTGGATTCTGCTTTTTCAAACACCTCTCCCCTGTTATGAATGTTTCTGTCTGTCATTTGGTATTTCCAGGCGTGTTTGACAGTGATCCGTCAGCTAGTTCGCTTTTCTGGTCTCTGTTTCTGGCCTCACACCAACAGCGGGAACATAAAAAGTGATGGCGATTAGCTACAGCTAAATCGTTCGCTTCTGGTTTCCGCAGTCCCTTGTAGGTATGACAATAAAAATGTAAATTAGTTTGACTCAGTCTGAGGGCCCTTTGTTCTTGGTTGCAAACTCTTTCCCCCGTCCTGCTGGGACACACCTAATGAGGTTATTTAACTGCACGGACGGAGCACGGTGTAAAGACATTTAGCCCATACAGTTAATTGTCTCAGAAAATTACCCTTTCTAAAAGAGGGAAAGAATGAACTTTGTAAACAGTCTTTGTTGTATTTAGTCACTTCATGTGTATGTATGTGTGTATAAACTGTAGTATATCTACAGAACTTTCGATCATCACTGCTGTAATAATCTGATCCCACTGACACATGCTAGCGGCTGATACGGCGATGTAACTCTTGCATCACACATTTGTAGCCCATATTCTTTCTCGGAGAAAAGTCATCTTATTACTGTAAAGCTAAGAGAACAAATAAACGTGATGCCAAGTGATAAGGCTGCAAGCTTTTCTGTGATTGGTCAGCTAGCTTTTCTCTGATTGGTCAGAAGGTGATCAGTTCCATATTTGCAGTGGACCCCTCCCCTCATCCGTCTCGGAGTTCAGCAGCTGATCTGCCAGTTTGCAAACTGCCCTTTCTAGTCCATCTCTCCAATTCCTAACCAGTTTGTTTTTTAGTTTAGTTTTTTTCAGGCAAAAGTACAACTGCAAAATTAAACTGTATAATTTAAAACACAAATTCGAGTTTAATTAAAATTTACCGAAAATAAATGTCTCATTGATATGGATGCTGCACAACCAGTCAGAGTCTGAGTTATTCTAGTTAGTCCAAGCTGCATGTCCCTAAGTGGTTAAGTGTATTGTAAGTGTTCCGGTCGGTGCCCAGTAAATAATCTCCACGTTTCATGTGATGCCCCCCCTCCCCCCCCACGCACTGTCTATAAGCGTAACGTAAAATGCCTGTACAGTGACCCCTGTAACCGACACGGAATGCCAACCTATTGTAGCATTTCCATAGTCCATGTCTGGCTGTAGGTACGATTCCTGAAGCTCGTGTGAAGACTTTGTTGTGTTACAGCAGTTACTTTATTTCCATTGTCATTTACATTTCATGTAATGAAAACGTTTTTACCCTATTTTTTATTTTATTTACGGCTGTGTTGATTTTGGCGCGTCCGAATAGCAGACTCTGTTAAGGTGAAGGCCGGCAGCGGCAATCCAGGGTGGGACAAAGTCATATGACAGGCTCTTCTTCAACACGTTTCCTGTCTATCGCTTTTCTCTCCTGTCCCAAACAATACCGGCTAACGCTTCCCTAAACTCCACATCCGTTTTTTTGTCCCTGTGTCCTCCCCCACTCCTAAGGCCCAGATGGATATTATTTGTTCTTGGGTCACTCCTTTCTTAAAAATCCCAAAACCCCGATAATATCCTTGTCCAGTCCTCCCCTGCCTATGTCACACGCGTCCATTTTCCGTCCCGACAGATGTAAGGTCAGCGCTGTTAAACGTAGGTCCTTGAGCACAGAGATAAGTTGCATGTTTAGCATGGGAAAGCCAGCATGAAGTAATATTTGTGAGATAGATAACAGTCGCTCTGGTGGACCTTCCCAGAATAACCGGCTGTTATTAACCAGTTAACTCCTGGTGGGGCCACGTTCTTATCTGTAAAAGGTCAAGATAACAGACGGCTCTGCTTCTTCATCCAGTTTTAATTTAGAGGATCTAGTTAAACACAATTGAGCTGTGTCTCACTTTCTGTTCTTGCCAGAGAAAACTACATTTGCGTAAGAGGAAGATTGTCTCTTATCAGCACTGTCACTTTTAAAACTGCTGTAAATCATTTGGTAATCATTGCTCTTTAAGCTGTGTTTCAGTTTAGGAACTTTCTTCCCATGATATAGGAAGTCTGAGAGCGAAGGTTGGATTTTTCTTGTTCTCTGTTCTCTAACAGCCTACAGCTTCACCCTGTGCAGATTTAACATTTTGCATGTACATTCGTTAGGGATGTGGGACTGTGTGTTAGGGGTTGCACATTCGTCAGGGATGTGGGACTGTGTGTTAGGGGTTGCACATTCGTCAGGGATGTGGGACTGTGTGTTAGGGGTTGCACATTCGTCAGGGATGTGGGACTGTGTGTCCCGCAGTGGGTTAGGGGTTAAGTGCTCATGTCTGGGTGGTTATAGGTTGAAATCCTGCCGCCAGCAGCACAGCCATTTCACTGTTAGGCTCATGCGCAAGGCCTTTAACTCCAGGGACACTGGCTGAGCCAGCCATCTGCCCCAAACTTCACTTTGTACAAAAAAATCTCTGTTAAAGAAGTAAACAGATATGCAGTCTCAGGAGGTGAGTGCTTTCTGTGCATTGCCCCTTTGGCGTAGGTAGGCCTGATAGCATTGCCCCTTTGGTGTAGGTAGGCCTGATAGCATTGCCCCTTTGGCATAGGTTGGCCTGATAGCGTGGCCCCTTTGGCATAGGTTGGCCTGATAGCGTGGCCCCTTTGGCGTAGGTAGGCCAGATAGCGTGGCCCCTTTGGCCTGATAGCATTGCCCCTTTGGTGTAGGTAGGCCTGATAGCATTCCGCTCTGATTGGCTGTGGCCTGCTCCCGTGTGCAGTGTCCAACTCGGCACCGAGCCCTGCATTGATGGCTGAGTACGGTCAGCCTGCCCTGCGGACAAACAGTTAGCGACAGGAAGTTGGAAAGACTTCCTTGCGTGAAAAGTGGTTCTATTTTGTCTGGATTCTGGATGTCTGCCAGGCAATCGGCTGTTCCTTCCCCTCACAATGACGGTAACTGTAATCCCCCCCGGGGGGGTCGTTGGGGCACCATGCTGTCGCTGAGACCGAGGTCCGAGCCCCGCGATATCCCTCAGCACGGGACCAGAGTTTCTTTCTGTGTGTGTTTGGGGGGGGGGGCTGGTTTGATTTGATGGCTCCTATTTGCCAGTCAGGGAGGTGCTCACCACGATATATTCAGCCTGGTTCTGCTCAGCTGAGAGTGTAATAGGTTTGCTGACATTTCTGGCAGGATCCCAATCTAAATTTATTATCACTAAAGGGTTATTACATCTGTGGTTACCACGGCACGTCATACCACTGATAAAGCCCAAGGAGCACTCCACCACAGGCGAAGGGGCGCCCCCCCCCAGATGGGGACATTCCTGTTCTGTGGTCAGTAAGGGGGGGGCATAGCAGTAGTGGGGTGGGGGCTAGATTTGCTGCTGACAGACAGGATACTTAATGTTCCCCTGAGCCTGAATAATGTATGATCTGGTTCTCAGGTTTGGGGTCACGCCGGGGTCACGCCGGGGTTGTGTGGGGGGGGTGGGGGGGGGGTGGGGGTCAGCAGGCTGCATGAGAGGCTTCACCTCCATGCCAAGTGCTCCCTCGTGTGCATTCCGGCTTCATGGCTGACGCGATGGACACCAGGCAGTGGCTGGTGGTTTGACTGAGTGTCCATTTTCGAAGAGTCTCCTCTAAGAAATATAAAATGGCCATTCGACAAATCACCCCCTCCCTTCCTCCGTAGCGGCAAATTCTGGTGCCACACCCCTGGATAGAGAGCACACTGCTTCCCCCCCCCACCCGATAGGTTTGGTCTCTGGATGAAGTTGGTTTTTATCATTTCGGGTAGGAATAATTCATCTTGGTGAACCAAAGAACCTGTGAGCATCAATATTTCATATCTGGTGGCAGGTCCAACCTGGACGGGCCTTCTTACAGCACATTCATCTCCCGACTTCCTGAAGAACTTCCTTTAATGAGATGGTGCTTCTTAAAATGCACTTGTGAATTATGAATGTCGCAGTGTATATTATATATAATTTAAGCCTATATTTTTCCAGGAAGATGTAGATGAAGGTCCCTAACATTTGGTGACCTGCCTTCATTTTTCCTTCTCTCTTCGCGGGCGCCGGCAGACGGATGTTTGTATTGCAGTGAACGTCTCAGAGCTGGACACTGACGTTCTGATCCCAAGAAGCAGGCATTCTGTTATCTGTGTATTGGTCACTATTTGGTTTCTGATTGGTCAGTCTGTTTATGTTGGCGGTGGGGGGGACCGGGGGAAAAGCCCAGGGGGGTGGGACCAGGGGGTGACACATGCCTATGACATTTCACTTCTTCTTCAGGAATTTCCATAAGAATTGCACATACACCTTCCATTAATTTATAATAATAATAATAATTATTGTTAGTAGTAGAGTTATCTTATTTTTATTTATTTCTGTTCATAATATCTGGATCTTTTGTTTGTGTCAAGTGCACTTTTGAAATTCCTTTACATCCTGTTTTCTTGTTGCTGCACCTTCACTGGTTTTGCACTTTTCGTACCTTGCTGCTGAAAGCACCAGAATCTCCGCCGACACCTTGTCTCGTCTCGTCTGGCTGCAGTGAGGCACAGTGGCTCGTGGGGAGAAAGCAGGCAAAACTACACGTGTGGTTTTTTTTGTTTGTTTACCGCAGCCAGTGACTGACAACACGTAGTTATTCCAATCATTGTGAGTTCTAAGATGCCCTTTGTTGTAGTTCAGATTAGCCTGAAGTCTTTACAGAAAATATTGTCTGGTCTCTGCTCAAAGAAAAGGGCGGGGCCCTTAATCATTCATGTTGACATGTCTGTCGTGCCAAATTCCAGCTAACTGGCTGAGAGCTGATTTCCATGTAAATTGGGCTCCCACAGCTGACACTCGCGTGTACGACCGGGGGGAAAAACTCGAGCCATCTTTAAATTATAAGACAGCGGGGTTTACAGGACGCGTCTGTCTGTCGTGTTAGTCTCTCAAACGGTCCTCAGTATAGTACAACCTCTGTGGTTAGAACTGTCAGAAATGAAGGTTTCTAAAATAACATGGTGACACGATAGCTTTTTTCCCCATCAGTTAAGGTTTGTCCTCTAGGCCTCTGAACCCTTCTGCTTATAGTGTTTTTTTTCTTGCTGAATCCCCATCTTTGTGTCCTTAGCTTTTTAACAATATACCACATGACATTGTTATTGTTTAATGCTTAGTTGGTGCTTTTTCTAAAGGGACTTAAACTTTACCCACTTTAAAGCGAGTTGTTTTCCTGGAGTAAGTGAGTCTCCTTCCTGCCTGGGTCCCGGCTGGGATCAGGCCAGCAGTCTTCTGGTTGCTAGATGCCATGATACTTGTCTTGCTTTAATGTCACCGAATCCTCATTCGTCTGCTGCCATGACATCCGGTATGGCGTGGGTTCATATAGACACCACAACATTTTTAAAATCACAGAGCAGCACATCTTGGGTGACACATAGGAAATCTGCACAAACAGCGTATGCTTACTGATCCGGTCGCCCATCAGTCTTCTAACTGTTTATCCTGGTCAGCGTTGTGGGGGGTGGGGCCTGGACATGGGTGTAAATTATGGGGAGGGTGGCGCAGTCGTACCCCCCCCACCCCAACACATGGAACCAGCCAATACAAGCCCCTGATCCCTCTTAAAATGGTGGAGACCTCAATCCCCCAGTGCTTAACCCAAAGTTATGCCCTTGGGCCCTGAGCCCACCCCAGCCAGCAGAGGGCGCCAGGCTGTGGTCCATCGCGTGTGTAACGTTTGTGCATTTCGTGTTTCCGCAGAGGAGGAGCTCAGAAAGGTCCGCGAAGAGACCAGCGTGGAGACGCTAAAACAAGAGCTGGAGAAGGAGCGGACGAAGCGACTGGACCTCGAGCAGAAGATGAACGAGGTCCTTAAGTCCAGGTGGGCGGATGCCGCCGCTCTTCAGCATCACCGGTGCCCGTTTCCTTGCCCGTCGCTGTCACATGACCCTCCGTGCTGACATTCAGGCAGTGGATATGGCTACTTTCTCCAAAACTGCTACCTGATTTCCAGTTGGGTAGCACAGTCGTCCGAGTCACGACAAACTCTCACCTAGAAATACAACACGAATAGACAGGAGCTTGTATATTGGTGATTTATATAGAAATATGAATGGTTTATAGTGATTAATGACTTGTGCCCACAGCTCAGGAGGTGTGTTGTGATTGGCTGAGTTGTGTGTGTTTCTGTTGGCTTGGTAGCTCATTGGCTGCCGGTGTAAACAGGCAAAGCTACAGCCGCAGTCTTATCAGAAACGGCCTTCTGTCCGTCTCAGCCCTGTCCCTGTTCATTTGAGCTGAGGAAGAGGTTTTTGGTTTCCTTTCCTTCCCCCAGAGTCGAGGACTCGCCGCCACAGCCTCCACGGAAACCGGTGTCACCTGCCACCAACGGGACGGGTATGTCCGCGGTGCCAGAAGGTGCCGGAAGGTTTGCCCTTGGAACCACATTAGCTGACTGCTGGCTGAGAAACTGGACACAATCAAACGCGACTTCAGCTACCACTGCGAGGCCAGAAGCAAATGACATGTAGAATTATTTAAACAGATTCTGCACCGGCTGCCTGCAAAATGTCAGCTTTTTAAGGAAAAAGGGGTTCTTGGGAGTAAATAAATGATAAGTACAGGTCTGTGTGCAATCCCCAGCTTCTGCCAGGGGCGGTTTGAAGGCCGTCTGCAGCACGTTTTCATGGCAACAGCATGTTCATGATAGCCAATCCTACAGCAAGTGCGGAGAATTAAAGAAAGGTGTTTCTTTTTTCTTTATTCGTTTCAAGCTGCCTGTGTACGTCAGTCAGGAAATAAGCAAATGCGTACTTATGGTGGATGTGGCTTTCCAGTGAATCTACTGGGTTTGGCGTCTTTGCTTCTGGGGAAGGGGGGGGGGGGTGCACGCAGTATTTCTGGAAATGGGTTGACTTTGTAGATCAGACCACGTAGGACAGACGTTCCCTTTGCGTTTTAAGCCGTATCATGCTTGGTGGCAGAGTGCGTAGGACCAGGGCAGCCAGTAAATGAGGATACTGGGTTTATAGGTGCTCTCTGTAAGTGCTGACACGTCCTTAAGGTCATTATGGGTATGTGCCTGTGTGCTGGCAGACAAACAAGGCCGCGAGCTGTACTCACGACTCTACCAGTGGCTGTATGACAAGCTGGCCATCTACATAGAGGACTTCCGCTTCCAGCCGGAGGAGAACACTGTGGAAACAGAAGAACCGCTAAGCGCTAAGAGGTGAGCCCGCCCCCATAGTGCCGCCTTGGCGGTATTCCGGAGAATTCTGTTACAGAAGCAACTTTCCTTGTAAATAAAAATCCTGTAAACCTCAGTGCTGGGTAATAATCCTGCCACACAAGCTTCTCGACATTCTTAGTGGGATTTGGTATGAAACCTTCTGCCATGCGGGAAATGGGCTGTGATTTACTGATAAGAAGCTCTACAATGGAAGACCTCCTTGTTCTACTGTTAACAGTAACTCTGCTGAAATGTCTGTTCCTTCCCTTGAATTAAGTTGATTTTTGCTTCCAGGAGCCTTATTTAGCATTGCTGTTTCTATTATGGGATACATGCAAAACACGTTGCCTTTATAATAATTTGCTTGATGCCTAAGGTGAACAGGCTGTTCCACTTGATTCTGCTGTCCTGGAAAAATGCAAATTCTCTGTGAACTACTGGGCTGAAATAGTGACATACACCTTGTTCTGATTGGCTGCACCGGAGGGCCAATCAAAGTGAACGTATTTGGATGCCAAAGGTGCAGTGAGAAAGCAGGATGTTCTCCTGTGCCTCCGTGTGACCCCTGGTGGCTGCTTGTGGGCAGTGCAGTTCTGTGGCTCTCGGTCCATTGCTGGGAAAATGACAGAGGGGATTATCATAAGGCAGCAGCTGTGTCATAGGCCTGGTTCCACCATGACAGTGACTCCTAGAACGTGACAGGCATTGCAAGAACGAAAAGCTGTGTTTGTTTCAACCAGTGTTTCCCTACCCAGGAGCTGGGACGTAGCAAAAACATGGACTGTCCGTATTTTGTTCCTCGAGGACCGGACTGGAAAATACAGCTCTAAAACTGTCGCCTTTTTTTTCTTTTTTTTTAGGTTGACTGAAAACATGAGAAGACTCAGTGAGTATGACGTCATATTGCATTTTGTGTGGAGGACAGTCCACTTACACGCATATGCCTGCAGATCAGTAGAGTGGGAGGTCACCTGACCCGCGTCTGTGTCCGTTCCTCGTAGAGCGCGGTGCCAGGCCGGTCACTAGTTTCCTAAGGAACCTGTCTGCCTTATCGAACTGGCACTCCGTCTACACGTCGGCGATCGCCTTCATCGTAAGTGCCCTGCTCCCCTTCAGTCAGGTGCTGACTTTCATTCCTCATTAGATGATGCATTTGACATGTGATGCTGCTCAGTGGAGGTGAGGTGCTTTGCACTGGGATCCCACAATTCCAGTTATTATAAAGCAGCATTATTCATGAAGAATTCCACTCAACGTCGTTCCGCAGTGTTTTTGTAGCGGATGTTATTCATTGAAGCTTCCTCCTTGGCTAGTCACGGACGAGTGGTTTAGCCATTCTTTATTCTAACTCCTACTTTTCACACAATATAAACATCGATGGGGGCCATGCTTGGCTCCACGGGTTAGGACACTGTGCCAGTGATCGGAAGGTTGCTGGTTGAAATCCCTGGGTCAGCACAGTGGGGTCACCGTTTGGCCCCTGAGCGAGGCCCCTAACCCACAGTTGCTCTAGGGACTGATTGACCCTGCTTTCACAAAAAAAAACCAGCAAACACTTTAGATAAAAGCATCTGTTATGTAAATAAAATGCAGTATAATCTATAGTACTTCAATAAGGCAGGTGTTTGTCTCTTGTAATAAAGACAGTTTTGTGCTGTATTGTAAAATAAGATTGAGTTGCATTGGTTGGAAACGTGGTCTAGTCTTAGTGTGATTTCACATCTAAAGTGCATCTTCTCACCCTGCATAGATGTACATGAATGCTGCCTGGCATGGATGGGTCATCCCCATGTTCCTGTTCCTAGCTATCTTGAGGTTGTCCTTAAACTACCTCATCGCAAGGTAACCCCCTTCCCTGTTGTACATAGCAGAATTTGACTGGACAGTCCTGGGTTTCCCAATTCCTGTCTGTGTTCCAGTAGTTGCCAGAGGGGGAAACGCGTAACTCCATTAGCCAACTGAAGCGGCATGGGGGAGGTCATGGGGTTGTCACCCTGGTGACAGCCTGCCTTTCCTGGGTTAGCTGAGGACAGGGCCCAACGTGGAAGATGGGGTGGGGCTGTGATAGTGTGTCACATTTGTGCACTATCAGAGTTAGCAGCCCATTTTTGTAGCATGTCACTGCTCTCTTGGTAGAGGCTGGAGGATCCAGTGGAGTATCGTGCCTGAAATCTCAGAACCGGAGGTAAGCATATGTGGGGTTTGTGCCTTTGCCTACTGCAGCATGTTTTATCCACTGCCTACTGCAGCATGTTTTATCCACTGCCTACTGCAGCATGTTTTATTCACTGCAGAATTTGTTCATTTTTTTTTCTTGTTTCTTAGGAACCTACGAAGGAGGACCTGACAGTGTCTGAGAAATTCCAGTTGGTGCTTGACGTTGCCCAAAAAGCACAGGTGACAGTGATGATGTCAGCCCACAACAGCAAACCTGACAAATCTAAAATTAGCCTTATGTACTGTTATATGATAGAGCCAAAGTGACTCGTGTGTTGGTGCGTGAAGCGTGAGACAGGCGACAGAGCATCGACACAAGCCCTTAATCAGGGCAGCAAGTCTTGTGTGAAACACGGTGTGTCATTAAAGGCACAGTGTTCCAATTTAAGACAACGGATTGCCCTGCAACTCCAGCTCAAGTAGATACCCAGTTAACCTCATAACAGGGCCAGAATAGATATAAGCCGCCTTCTGGAGCTGAGTAGGGTAATGTCACCGATTCAGGGTGAGACCTTCAGGCATCCTGCGGTTGGGGGGGGGGGGGGTGAGGTCATTTAATCACACAGAAACTTGCCAGGATCTTCAGGCGGAAACTTTTTAACACAAGGAAGGAGAGAGTTTGGTTTTTCGACATGCAGATGATGTTTCCATCGAGTTGGTGCAGTGGTGAAGGGATGGATGGGTTTGCCTCTGGAGGATCTCAACTGATTTGGAAGTAGTGCTCTTCAAGGCAGGCCAGTTAGATATGCGGCAGTGTGAGGAGGAACGGGAGCGTCAGATGCATAACTCAGAGGCATGTGTGATATGATCATTCTGTCTGACCACTTCTGCTCTTCTCAGAACCTCTTTGGCAAGATGGCGGGCATCTTGGAGAAGATAAAGAAGTATGTGTTCACTTCTCCCCGATGGCTTTGAATGTTCTCAGCTTGACAGACACAGTGTACGAAGATCCTGTGTGTGCGTATATATATGTGGGTCTGTACGTGTGCCTGTTTTTCAGTCTCTTCATGTGGGTGCAACCTGAAATGACTCGGAAGCTCTACATCGCTCTCTGGGTGGCCTTCATCTCCTCCTGTGTGCTGCCTTTCAAGCTGCTGGGCTTCATAATTGGTGAGAGCTTTCAGGCGCTGAACATGGTCAGCTGGCCCCCACGTACCGGCTCGTGCAGCCACATTCCCTAGCGTGGGGTGGAGCCGTTTACCGTGGACTGTCTTACCTTAGCTTCATCATTGGGTTTTTTATTCTCTCCTTGTGTTTCGATTCCTCACTCCCTCCTTCTAGCACTGTACGCCGGCATCAAGTTCTTCATCATCGACTTCTTCTTCAAGAGCTGCCCCAAACTGAGGGACAAGTACGACACGCCGTACATCATCTGGACCAGCCTGCTCACCGAGCCGCAGCTAAAGGAGCGTGCCAGTGCCGCCATGTCCCGGCGGGTGAGCTGCTTCGCACCAATACTCCACTCCACACTCTTTCTAACACTGCATGCTAGGGTGCTGGAATAATATTCATACAGCTGTGAGACCCCCAGATCCCGCAGTGATCATACGGCAGTGTGACCCCCAGATCCCGCAGTGATCATACGGCAGTGTGACCCCCAGATCCTGCAGTGATCATAGAGCAGTGTGACCCCCAGATCCCACAGTGATCATACAGCAGTGTGACCCCCAGATCCCGCAGTGATCATACAGCAGTGTGACCCCCAGATCCCGCAGTGATTGTATAGCAGTGATACTCCCGGATCCTGCATGCATCAGGCTTGTTTAAATGTTCCATTGCAGATTTCTGATGCCAAATTTTGTGGTGAGGATGCAGGAAAGGTTTTCTTCTGACAGATGTGTACATCTTCTCTACTTCTGTGTCTCTACAGTATATCTGAGTTGCATGTGTCTGAAGTTGTGAATTTTGCAGTTGGCCTCTATGCCATCACAGGTCTTCATCTCTCCAGTAGGCTTGGGTGATGCATACCTGAACGCCTAATCCTACTCTCCATGAACATAACTGCTAATGGTCCCCCAGACACGATGGACTCATCTGTAGCTCTCTCCTCACCCCACCTCCAGATCCAGCCTGTGGTGTCTCGCAGCAATCAGGTGACCAACCCCCAGTATGGTATCGCTCGTGATGAAGAGGGCGGACGAGCCCATAGCACTAAAAAGGGGCCCTTTCACGAGATCTTCAACCTGCCAGAGAATGAGCGCCCCCTACCAGGTATGAGAAGAGATACAGTTTACTGCCAATGGCCAACATCATGCTTGGATGCTCTATCCATTTCCCATTGGCTACTTCATTGGCTTCAGTTCGATTTGATCAGATGGTGATTCACGAGCAGGGTAACCCTGCCAACGATATAAGTTTATTTCAATGTTAAATCTGTATGTTTTGAATTAGAATGTCCTGCACTATATTAACATTGTTTGTATTAATATTTTTGTGATGTGGTGTTTCCTCTGTCTTGTCTCATGTGGTCAGTGTGTGAGAACGGCTGGCGTTGCTGTTTGATTAACAGAGACCGCAAGATCCCCACAGACTACATCCGCAATGGGCTCCTCTATGTCACAGAGAAGTGAGTTTAGCTGGCCCCTTATTGGCTGGCTTGGTGTAGAGATGTCTCTCTATGGGGGGAGGCGGGGGATCGTCCGATTGGCTCCTCTGACTCTCCCCCTGCCACCCTCATAGCTACATGTGTTTCGAGAGCTCCAGCTCACGGTCCAGCTCTTCCAAGAAGAATAAAGTCATCAAACTCTCCGACATCACAGATATACAGAAGGTGAGTGCATGCTTTATTCTGATTTTTATTTTTTGTTTATGTCTTCTGACCATGTGTATTTGTGTTCCACGTATCTTCTCCGTCTTGCAGTATAAAGTCCTCTCCGTGCTCCCTGGCTCTGGGATGGGAATATCGATTGCCACTCCCTCCACTCAAAAGGTAGGTGAGCAGCACTGAGGACACAGCTGGTCGAGAAAGCTGAGCCTCCAATGCTCTCTAAGGAAATACGCTTCTTTTGGGATTGGTGAATGATTTCATCCAGTAATGCTCCCTTGATTTGACAAAATGAGGCTTGTTTACTGAATCTCTCCCTCTCTCCCAGCCCCTGGTGTTTGGAGCCATGGCTCACAGAGACGAAGCCTTTGAAGCAATCTTCACGCAGTACATGAAAATCATCACTGCCAGCAACCCTGAGACCTAGGGGCTACGGCAGCGGTGTGCCTGAATACCTGACATCTCCTCTGTACCATCTCGGCACAGGAGAATGGATGGTGTATATAGGCAAGGGCGGGACATACACCTTTGTCTCGCTCACCGTGATTGGTCAGGGGTGTTAGGCCACACCCTGCTCCCTTGGTAGTGATCAGTAGAGACGGTGCCTTCTGTTCACTGGAGTTTTGTGATGGGAGGGGCTGGATCTCCTCCCCAGGCACTGTCACAATCCCCCTCCTGGTGTGTTTTGGTTAGTGTGGGAAATGTGTGTCCGTTTTACAGGGCTGAGCGAAATCCAATCCACCCTCCACAGGTTACATTCTGGCCATGTCCATCCCATAATGTGAGGTCCCTGCGGTCTGAACCAAACAACGGCCCCTAGACAGTGCTGCGGGGACCGGGTGGGGGGGAACGGGGCATGGAAGCCAGCCTCCAAACGTCCTCACAAAGTACAGCTCCTCTAATTTCCGTCCTGTTTGTAATTACCCCTGCGTACCTCCCCCATCCCCAATGATCCGCCATCAATAGAATGTTTGGTGTAAAAGCACAGAGTCTACAACGTGTCAGGGGCCGTTCCCTGCATGGCGTGTAACTGCAAAGATCGGAACCTGTACGTAATCAGAGGTGAATTACCTGACAATCGATTCTTAACCTGATAACTTTGGCTTCTGTTAATTTCATTGATTAGCTGTTAAATTTATTCACCTAGCAGGTAATTTGAGCTGGTCGGCGGGCATTTGGCGAATTGGGCTCATGTGTTTGTTACCAAAACCCTTCAAGTGATATTTTCCCGTGGATGATATTTGGAAGCGTCTTAGCATTGCAGGGTAAAAAGGCCGCAGTGAGGGTCTAGGCAGAACAGAGCTGTCCCTGTTAGCGAGTGACAATAGCGGGAAAAAGCCATTGGATCACTGGATCTTGCAGTGTTAGTTGGGGTGGTCCTTCTTGGCCCACGCTGAGGGACACTGTAAACGCAAACAGCGAGTCCTTCATTTCCCCTTCGGAGGGAGGTCGCGCTACGTTCTGCGATTCCCATTCTCTGTGAAAGCTGGACTTTTTCTTAACAGAAAAGGTTTTCAAACGGAAAAAACACTCAATGCCAAACCATCCCTCGACTGACAATCTTAAATGGTAGCACGGTAACATCGTACCAGATGCTCCTTTGTTTACCCACACTTTGCTTTGTGATATCGGCTGATGGCTGTCCAGGCCAAGTGGAGCGTGTGTCGGTATCTGATGCGATGTAATCGCCCAGCCTTCGTGAGCGAAATCTGCCCTAAGCTCCTGCACGGCTCAGCCGTGTTGGTGTAATGCCTCAGAAGCCAGTACAAGCTTCTCGCCATGAAGGATTTTAAATACCCATTTTTCTAAAAATAGCCAGAGATGGGGTTTTTTATTAAAATGTGCATCAGGATAAAGCTTGCACTCTAGATTAAGAAACAAATCACACCTTGAAGGAACATTTGTGTGCGTGTTTGTGTATATATACATATTTTTTCCCCTGAGGTCTGTTAAGTGATCCCACTAACTGAAATCATTTCTGGCTTCTGTGTAGAAACCATTACAGTAAAAGCCCAGGCTTATGACGTAAAACATAGTTTTGCCAAACACCAGACTTATTTCATTGTTAGTCATGTTGTGCCTGATCTGTCGTCCTTTCAGAGGGTTGTCTTTGGCTCTCCATTGGTTAGTTTTGGCAGCTGAAATCCAGGTGAACAGGAAATGAAGACTGTGAAGAATACCTTCTGGAATGAACACTGTCACGGTGGTGATTGGCCTGTGTGGTCACATGACAATCTCTGCACCCTCGTCCCATTTGCTGCTGATACTCCTAGGCTTCCTGTGCGCTTGATCTGCCTACTCTGTTTTTTCTGCTGCAGCCTTGTGTGTTGCCCCTAGCTGTGATCTTTGGATGAATCCAAATGGAGCTTGGATGGCAGTGTAACCCTCATGCACGGAATTAGCCCGCAGGAACCAAAAGCACTCCATTGAGTTTTATAACTACAGAACAAACAGGCCATAATTTACCGTTTTCTGGGCTGCTGATTAACCGTGACCAGGGCTGGATGAATGGTTACCGGCGACCCAGAACTCGTCTCCGTGTGGGTTGGCAGTGCTGGACTCGGCCATCTCAGCACCTTGCTTTCATGGTTTTCGCTTCATAGGCTTCAGGAACCCCCCCCACCCCAGCAACTCCCATAAACGCCTCGGTCAGCGATGTACACACTAGTAATCTCAGTTCTTGATGAATTAAGAATCAGTGCTGCCTGGTTATACTCCAGTTAAATAGGTTAATTGCAAGTTAAATGCAGAACACAACTTTGTTACACAGTAATAAGAACAGTAAGGTACTGTAATGAAGAATAATTAAGCTATATGCTACTCAAATGGCAGTTTGCCCTGTAAGCACTTCTGTAAAATGCTCAGTCTTCAAATTGTTTCGATACAATGTAGAAAACATCGTTCATGTTCTGCCTGCCTGATATGGCGACCCTGGAAACCGTTTCCAAGAGCAAAAACTATTCATCCTATTCCTAGTGAGCAGAGATTGTCACACCCACACAGAACGACACCCTTAACTGCTTAACACCCTTTCTGCTGTAAACGAAGTATTTTTACTGTGAGTAAATTTGTCCTCTGTTTAAAGATATTATTTTATTAAATGCCCAATATGTATATACATGCACAGGATAGAACTTGAAAAGTTGTGAATAGTACTTTATATTTTGTTGTGAAAGCTGGAAAACAAGAACAGGAGTTTTATAAAAGCTGTACACCAACAAAAACAAAGACCTCTGTACTGTTTTTTAAGAGAATCTTTATTAGTCTGAAAGACTGGGATACATGTTTTATTCACATAAAGTAATTTAATTAGCTGCACAGCTGTTTCTTAATCAATTAATCAAACAGATACTTGTATATAGCTTGGGTAAACACTCAACGTTAATCTCTTGATTATGGATGGGAAAAAAAGATTCTCGTTTAATCGCGACAAATGTCTAATTATTTAATATCTAGAGGATGAATCTCATGAAGGAGAACATCCTTTGCAAAAGTGGTAGATCCACATGAATGATTCGGTCTGAGGTGCCGTCCATTACTTCAGCCAATCGGAGCTCCCGTCTCGGCCCATGGACCGGACCCATTCGGCTTCCCGAATCGAGCACTGCTTCTTTCCCCAAACTCTGAGGTCATGTCTGACAGAAATCCACGAGTCTGTCGCATGCCTTTCCACCTTCAGCCTGTTCTCTCAGCCAATCGCCATGCTGCTTACTGAAGGCAGCACACAGAGAAGGCTACACCGATTTACCACAACCTGGGGCATTTTAACCCTCTCAAGGCAGGCGTTGCTGATTTGCAACAGTTAAAAACTAACTACCTTATTCCCCCACATACATATTTTATGAGTTTTTTTACTCAGAAGTACCACTGCAGGACTTGGTTGTCCTGTCGTTACTAAAACTTAATTTGAGCCTGAAAGGGTTAATGCAACATAATGAAAGAAAAATGCAAAAAAAGTAAAACAACGTGGAACGGTTAAGGTGAATAGATGTTTTTCAGCATGCAGATATTTGTTTTATAATTAACTATTTATTACAAACACTGTCAAGTTTATTACAGACACGTATTTATTACAAACACAGCCAGTGAGTCATTGATATAAAACTTGACCTGATAATTAGGGTCACATTAGCCTGTGATTTTCTCAGACTTCAGTGAAGGATCGCATTCGGTCATATATACAGTAAACTGAATAGCATGCAGTTTTTCATATGACCACATGGTGGCAGTAGGGGATAAGCTTCTGGAAAATGCACTTTGCAGTAGCATCAGATCACGGGTGCCCGGAGGAGGCTGTACAGTTGTTTTGGTCCACTTCCCAGTTTAGTACACGGCCTATAACAGGTATTACTGCAGAGACATACCCCGCTCACATCACCTACCTTGTGTTGCCCAAAGCAGTTACTAATATTGGACTGACAATGAATGATTGCTTTGAATAATTTCTATGAAGCTGCCGCTGTAGGATACCAGAGACATATTCCAGCGGTCCAGCCCTCTCCAGGATCTCATTCTGCATTTGCGGATCAGGTCCGGTGCCACGTTGCCCGCGACTCAAGCTGACATACACCATTTGGCCATTAGATGGCACCCAAACGACAGCGTCGGTATACACTTTGTCTTCAGGATAGCAGAAAAACTGGCCACATTGCTGCATTACAGCAGATATGTTTTTTTTTCCCCCACATATTTGTGTATTCCCTTAATATACATAGCAGTTATATACCAAATTTTCAATCACCATATTAAAAAATAATCTATTCCCTCTTTCTCATTTCTGGAATACATTTACACATTTGGATGTATTTGTTAAGGGTATTATTCAGAGTGCTCATTGTACATAGCGATATGATACTGAAGGTTTAATTCATTTCTTGAGCACACCGGCTTTAACCGAAGCCTCCCTCTGTCTCATCCATATTTTCGGGTACCCCCCCTCTTTTTTTCTACAAACGCCTGGCATGTCCACAGGTATTTTCCCTTGAGAGATGCCTGACCCCGGTGGGTTCGGGTTGGCAGTGTGGGTGTTAATATTACGGCTAGGATTGTCCCCTCTGCCCCGGTGTGGACTGAGAGGGACGATGCCCGGTGTGCCAGCGTATCACTCGTCTTACTGACCGCATTCCAAAGAAGAGAGAAAGTTAAAACCATTAACTGAAAGCTGGATCTAAGTGTTAATGAGTGGCATGTTGGGCACTGCTGGAGCGCTTGACAAAAGGCATCTTTCGTCTGCAAAATCCCAATTACAGCAGTAGCCACTTCTACAGGGGTTCGGCTGGAAATGTGTTTGCACTCGCCTCCTAATGAAGACAGCGGGCAGAGACAGGCCCCTTCCTGCCTACAGATGAACTCCACGGGAGGCTGCGGGACAATGAGGTCGAAGCTGCCATCGCCCCATGGTGGAGCTATGCTGCCGGCACCCGAGACAAAGTGAAACTAGTCGGCTAAGGCGTCACCCCTTCAGAAAGTGCGGTAGGCGGCTGCCTGTGTCGCCTGACGGGCTGTCCGGCATGGATGTGGGGAGGGTTGGGTGCTGTGTCGCCTGACGGGCTGTCCGGCATGGATGTGGGGAGGGTTGGGTGCTGTGTTGCCTGACGGGCTGACCGGCATGGATGTGGG